CTCTCTTTTTTGAGCTCTCTCTCCAGGAAGGGATGGATTTATACTGAGTCATCTAACTCTCTTACTTTCTTGTGGGCTCACTTGGATAGGGTGTAATCACAGACCCATTTTAGGGAAATGATACAAGTGGCAGTGGCTGATTATTTGGAACTGAATCTCTGAACTACCTTTGATAGGGCCCATGGTGAACGCAGCTAATAAGCCCAGCATACTGACATTGGGCAGTGAAAGAAAAAACAGTTTGAGTTATGTGAAAGAAACATACTACTAGTATTAAAAGGATACAGAAATCCGTGAAGGCATGTAGCCATTTTGGAAGGTGGTGAAAACAGATAGTGTAAGTTCTGAAAACACACTTTAAGTTTTTAGTGGTAATAGTTGAACTAAGAAATTATTTGATATCTCACCATTATTCATGTCCACAGAAGGATCATTATTTTACTTCTTCATGAGACCTGTCCTACAAGGTGGACACCTTAAGGACACATATTTTAGAATCTCAATAAATGTCTTAAAACACATGAGTGTTTTCACAGAATGGAAATTAAGAATATTATTTTAAAAAAGAATAGAAGTAAAATAAATATTTCCCAATGCAGAGGCTCGTGCCTGTAATCCCAGGGCTTTCGAAGACTGAGGCAGGTAGATTGTTTGAGCCCAGGAGTTCAAGGCTGCAGCGAGCTATAACTGTCCCACTGCACTCCAGCCTGGGCACAGAGCAAGAAAGACCCTAAGTAAAAAGAAATGTTCCAATGTAAAAATTTCCGGGATGTGGAACTGAGCTGAGTGGAGATGAGTATATCATGTGCTTCTTTAGGGGTAGTGTGAGTTTGGGGAAGAAAAAGAATTCAATAAAATGAGAAAAGATTAGGCCTTGATAGTGCATAGCAAATTATTGTAGCATGCCTCCTCACCATATGCTCATTCCATGATAAATTCATGTTCCAAGTTGAAATAAGAAATTAAGATGCATGGCATTGGAGATTCTGGAAAGAATAATAATAATAAAAACCTGTATGATTAAAAAAACCTCAAACAACCACACCCAATAGTCTTTTTCAAAATTTGACTATAACATACATTTATCTATATCCTTAATTTGGAATGTTATTCTGCAAATGTATCACTTTACAATCTAAAGTTCCTGTACTTGCTTTTCTTGCTTATGTAAGATTTACTCACAAAAAGTCTGTTTTGCTGATTGTTATGAACTCTTCAATTATTTGTTTTCGTTGTTTTCTTTTAATTATGAAAATCCAGGAGTCATGATGTAACGTTGCTATGGCAATGAATATGCACAAATAGATGATTAAGGATGGGGGTGTTAAATCTTGAAAACCACATTTGCGTGTAAATTTTTTTCCAGCGAAATTAAAAAATCTTATGTGTAAAATTTTTTCTGTTATATACAAAAATATGAAAGTAAGACATGTCACATCACATCTTGAACAATGCATTTCTATTGTTTATATTAAATACAGGAGCAGCTAAATATACTCCAAAGAGTATTTTCTTAATAATGATTCATTTCAAAAGACATTGGAATAAGGCTGGATTAATTTCCATAGAGTGTGTGTTTGTATGCAAATAAAGTATAAGTTGAAACACATTATAAGGATGAAGGTCTTCCCTTGGTTGCCATGAAGGTGGCATTAAGAACTCAAGCATATTAGAGATATTTATAATTTCCTAAAAATATGCTTTTCTAGTTATTAGAATTCAATACATTGAAAGTTTCAAAGCTGTCATGATTTTGAAATTAGGATCGAGTGCAGTGACTCACACCTGAAATCCCAGCAATGTGTAAGATTGAAGTGGAAGGATGAATTGAAGCCAGGAGTTCGAGATCAGCCTGGGCAACATAGTGAGACCCCACCTCTTAAAAAAAAAAAAAAAATATATATATATATACATATATATATAATTTAACTGGATGTGGTTGTGTGAGCCTGTAGTCCCAGCTACTTGGGAAGCTAGGGAAGGAGAATCACTTTAGCACAGGAGTTTGAGGCCGCAGTGAGCCATGCTCAAGCTACTACGTGCCAGCCTGGGTGACAGGGAGACATCAGTTCTAAAAGAAAAAGAAAAAGAAGGGGAGGGGCAGAAGGAAGAGAGAAAGAAAGAAAGGAATGAAGAAAGAAAATGGAACGTGTGCAAGAGAACATGGAAAATGGTATTTGAAGACTTAGTTTAAAATACTCCTACAGCTGGGTGCAGTGGCTCACACCTGTAATCCCAGCACTTTGGGAAGCAGAGGTGAGAGGATTGCCTGAGCCCAGGGCAACATGGCAAGATCTTGTCTGTACAACAACAACAACAACAACAACAAAAAGCAAAAAGCTGGGTGTAGGCATGCGCCTGTAGTCCCAGCGATTAGAAGGCTGAAGCAGAAGGGTCTCCTGAGCCCAGGAGGTTGTGACTGCAATAGTCGTGATCATGCTACTACACTCCAGCCTGGGCGACAGAGTGAGACTCCTACTCAAAAACAAACAAAACAACAGCAACAAAAACTTCTATAAATAAAGTACTTAGATTCGGCCTTTTTTGTTGTGTCAGAACTTTGAACCAAGAATTCAAAATATTCTGATCCTGATCTCCTCTTTGCTGACCATATATCAATTGACTAGACACCTCACCACCTTTTGCGTTTTAAAATATGGTTCTGAAGACAAAGTAAGGATCCTTACCATCTGATGAAGATTCTTTAGATTAGCACTGTCCAATTGAGATGTAATGTGAGCCACATATGTAATTTAAAATGTTTTAGTAGTCATGTTAAGTAAAAAGAAATAGGTGAAATTATTGTAATAACATTTTATTTAACCAAGTATGTAAATATTATCACTTCAACATATGAGCAATATAAAACTTATTAATAATGTATTTTACATTCTTATTTTTGCACCAAGTTGTTAAGATCTAGCATGCTTTTTTTTTTTTTTTTTTTACTTACAGCACATGTCAATTTGGTTTGGACACATTTCAAGTGCTCAATACCCATATGTGGCTAGTGGATACTATATTGACAATATACCATTAGATTAAGACAAAAGTGTTGAGTTTGCTTAGACATTGAAATTACTCAATATCAGACTTCTCATGATAATAACCTTGCTTTCTTAGAAAATAAAAGCATTCCAGCTTGCAGAGGACATTGCTTACTGTATTTGAGATAAAATAAATATGTGGGGAGTAAATACCTGACATTAATGTAGTGCCTTTGGTTTAACAGTGCTTTCACATAGGCTAACCATTTTGATCTTGGTCATAGTTTGGAGAAATAAGAAGGAATGAAGTTCCATTTATTTTTGAGGAAGTGGGCCCAGAAAGTGCACTATATTCTGCTCTTTAAGCTCCACGTCTCATGATTCGGTATCAGATCACAATCTAGGGTACGGTTACCAACTAATGAACAAGACAAACCAGCCACAATATAACATATCTTAGCATTTCTTGCCTTTTTAAAAAAGCATCTGTTTTGTGGGTGTCTGAAAGGGCTCAGACTTGTCCCACATCTCCATATTTTGTGTTTGTTTGGATCCTGGATAAAAATGAGAACAAAGTCCTTTTTATGTGTGGGAATATTTTGATTCATCCAAAGTGGTGTTGGGAGAGATCCTCAGGGTGCCACTCACTTGCAGTCTCAAAGTTCAGCAACCATTCTACCTCCAATACTGCAATCCTTTGATGATAAAGTCAATTATATACATCATTTCACTATAGGTCTTTCATAGACCTCAGAAAGAACACTCAGGCCATTATTCAGTACTGATCTAGGTGAAAAAGCAAGACATCTTTTATTCTCAAGTAATTAATTTATACGATGCTATAACTTTTCAAGGAATCACCTAATAGCAGTAATAGCTATTGTGTGTGTGTGTGTGTGTGTGTGTGTGTGTGCGCGCGTGTGTGTGTGTTGTTCAGGTTAAAATAATCCCATTCACTTTAATGTTTAAGCTACACAGGTGAATTGATTTTAGGCTAATTTTCATTAATTGGCCATATTGTACTTAAAGTATTCAGGCACAATCCACATGGAAATCACACCCATTTGACAACAGATCTCTAGGGATTTAAACGATACTCAATCAAGTTTCTAATATACTACTCTAAACAATTATTCCCTTCCCCTTAATCCACGTGCATGTCTTTTACCCCAGTTCTTCAGTTGCTGAAATATTAGCTGCCGAGCTAATTTCCACAGGTCAGGTTCCTTATCACCAGTCCTGGATTACACATTGCAGATGGCGACATCACCTAGGGCAGGTGGTCCAGTTTTGGTCGCCATTCATAGAGGAGAGGGTCCACAGGAAGGCAGTAGATAGACGAAGTTTGTTAAATCAAAGCTCCATGTCCGGAAGGCAATCGGACAACTGGTCGTTTCCAGGAATGGACAGAGAGGGCGCCCTTTCACAGAAGCGCGAACATCCAAGACGTGGTGGTGGGGCGAGCAGGTGGGAAGGCTGGCGGGGGTTCTCACAACAGTCTACTTAGACTTAAGGACAGTGGACAGTAAACAGATGTCAAGGGAGCTGGAAGAATGGACCTTCTATGGGAGACTGGAGAGCGTGCCACCAGGAAGCAATTGCGTGGTTTAAGTTTCCCTAAAGTCTCAGCGGGGCTTCCCCTTCCTTCCAGAGTGCCCTAGTCCTGGAGGCTCCGCCGCTCCCTCGCCGCCCCTTTATTCGCCCCAGCTCTGGACGATCTCTCTGCCCCTCCTAGAGCAGCCTTTGCCCGCCCGCCCGCGGTCCGGGCAGTCTACGAGAGGGCGCAGGGGGCGGAGGCGCGGCAGGGGCGGGCTCTGTCGCCCCCCCGCCCCCACACCCTCCCAGCCCTGCCTCTGGGGCCAGTGGCAGGAGCGCCGCGC